CCTAGTCGTAGAGACTAGGTGCCGTCACGACATCTTACGGAGGGAGAATTGGGTCGTGACAGATTATGATCTTGAAAGTAATAAAATGAGTAAATAAATTGATAAATTAACGTTGGCTTTCCTGACGGCGGCGTTAGGCGCCATCACGACCTCTAGTGGATTTTGGGTCGTGACATAAGGTCTAAATCATAACCTAAGTATTTTCCTTTGATTCATTCCCTTGGTTTATGCTTTAATCCATATTTTAATTAAGAACCTATTTATTTCCTTAAATCAAGACCTAGGGTTATGTCCTAAATTTTAAAAATTAAAAATGAGTTTGAGGCGTTTATTTCCCGATTCCTTTTGGGGTATTATTCTCCTATATTAGGAGAAAAACATACTCGAATTTTGCGAGTTTTGGACAGGTATTTCGGAAGTTATGGGACCCAAATATTGTGGGTTGGACTATTAGGTTATGAATACCCACGAGCGATAGTTTGGCGAATTGTTTGAGCTATCGGACTTCGATTGAGTCGGTTTTCATTCGTGTGATATTGGTTTGGGCTTCACTCATGTAAGATTGGATTAGGAATCCAAGGTGGGCCGGCATTGACTTATGTTGACTTTTTGGAAAAAATGTAAAGATCATAGCTTTATTTATTATAATTGGTTTCTCTTGCATTGTTTAATATTATTAAATCATTTTTGGTTAGATTTGAGCCGTGTGGAGGCGAATTTTAGGGGAAAAGCTATTTCAGAGGATTGAGTTGGCATATTAACTTTGTGTGGGGGAAACTACCCCTTAGGATTTGGATTGATTGTGCTATTTGTGTTATGTGAAAGCCGTGTACGCAAGGTGACGAGTGGGTACTCGGGCTATATGTGGTATTTGAATGGTTTAGATTATCTAGACGCTTTTCATGCATTTAACTGAATTTTCGTAACATGTTATATCTCTCATTGTTAATCTACTCTTACATGCTCTATATGACTTTGTTAGCACTTGTTCTACCTCGTACTTGTTATTTTGCTCTTATATGCTTTAGTTAAAGTTATTGCCTTCCTTATTATCTTGTTACCTCTTAATTGTTGAATCACTTTTAATTGAAGTTGTTATTTCATGAAATATCATCTTGTTGAGTTATTGAAGTCGTAATAGCCATTATCATATTGAGGCGAAGTTATTAATTGTTGAGATACCTTTCCTTGTTGAGCATTCTCATTTATTTTGTTATTATTGAAATTCTTGTACATATTGTGGTTGAGCCATGGGCTATTTGTTGCGAAAATATTGGGTGTTGACTTTAAGGCAAGTTGTGGCATANACGATGTTTTGGCGAATTGGTTGAGCTATTGGACTCCGATTGAGTCGATTTTTATTAGTGCGAGCTTGTATTTGTTTGGGCTTCACTCGGGGTAAGCTTGGATTCGGAATTCAAGGCGGGTTCGACGTTGACTTTAGTTGGTTTTTTTGGGAAAAATATAAAGATCATAGTTTTATTTATTGTAATTGGTTTCCCTTGCATTGTTNATTTAATTGAATTGTCATAACATGTTATATCTCTCACTATTAATTTACTCTTACATGCTCTATTTGACGTTGTTAGCACTTGTTCTACCTCTTACTTGTTGTTTTGCTCTTATATGCTTTAGTTGAAGTTATTGCCTTCCTTATTATCTTGTTACTTCTTAATTGTTGAATCACTTTTAATTGAAGTTGTTATTTCGTGGAATATCATCTTGTTGAATTATTGGTGTTGAAGTTGTAATAGTCGTTACCACATTAAGGCGGAGTTGTTAATTTTTGAGATACCTTTCCATACTGAGCATTCCCATTCATTTTGTTGTTGTTGAAATTTTTGTACACATTATGGTTGAGCTATGACTATTTGTTGTGGAAGTATTGAATTGTTCGTCCCTTCCATGACTTCGTGCTTACTTGCTACTCGTCTTAACTGTTTTACTTGCACACCTTAATTGTCACGTGCTTTATTAACACAATTTGAGCAGTAAATGGGGAGACAGGGTTGTAATACTCGAAACGACCGGCCGGATCGTTACACATTTATTCTCAGATTCACCAATTAAAAATAACATTATTCTCAAATTCTCAGAATTGAGAATATCAAGGTATATTTGACTGCCTATATCTAAATAAAGGTGAAATTAGAATCTTATAACTGAGTAAAGTTGAAGAACAAAGAAAGGGAATCTTTTCCTTACCACTTCATTAACCAAGCTCTTTTTCTCAGCAGCTGTAATATATACCAATGTTTTCCTTATATGCCACTTAACTAAAGATTTCCCTTCAAACCTTCGATCAGAGATGCAACTGCAGAGCAAAATAGAGGAAAAGCAACACATTATTAACTCTAATTTTATTTCTTACAAAGTTTTACAAGTCGCAAAACATAATTAATAGTAAATAGTAATTTAGTTTTCCATTAATACATCAATATTTTATTAAACACATAAAAACTTTCATTACTTATATAGCTGTGATGCGATGAGGGAAAAATTGTTGATTTAATAATTAATAAACTTTTGTATTAATGAAAATTATTAGGAGTGATTATATAAAAGATTATATAAAATATAAAATTATGCATGAAGTAGTAATTTTATACTAGAAAATATTTCGGACACGTGTTTCTCCACTTCACATATAGTCCAGTTGCCTAACATAACCTTTCTATTTACTCTTTCAGCCTTTGTTGACCCAACCCTTAGAAGTGTTCAGTTTCAGCTGAAATCGTGAGTAGATTCCGGCGATATGACCGTCGGAGATTCGCCGGCGGATTGGCCTCCTCCCGGATGGACTGAGGATGTCAAAATAACTAGCGGAAGAAAAACCAAGGTTAAATAATTGAACTTTTTTTTATAGCTAATTTATAAACAATTAGGATATTGCAGCTGTATTCTGTGTTTTATTTTTTGATATTCGTTCAAATCCAAATGGATTTGCGGTAATTTTTCTCAATTTCCCCTTTATTTGTTCAGGTTCGATTTTTGTAAAGTGCATAATCAGTCAATTTTGTAGTTAACTCCAGATGGGTCTATGGTAATTTTTATGGGGCTATTCAAATAACTTTATTATTGTTAATTTATGGGCTCGATCAACTTGGTAAACCAGTTGCATGTGGAATCTTGAATTACCCATTTTATCGAAAATGGTTTTATTGAATCCCATTTGCTGAAGAATTATACTGTAGTAAAAACTATTTTTTTTGTGTGTGTGTGCGCGCAGAGGCGGAGCCAAGATTTAGACCTTATGAGTTCGGGTTTGTAATCCTTTTAAGTTACTCTATTCTAAATTAATAAGTTGTACATATTCAAAAGATTTCTTAAGACAAATATATACATGGTTGGAACAAAAGCTATTGGGTTCGGCCGAACCCGCATCCCGCACTTTGCCTCCACCCCTGTGTGTGTATATAAAGCNTTTGAACCTTATGGGTTCGGGATTGTGATCTTTTTAAGTTACTGTGTTCTAAATTAATAAGTTGTACATATTCAATAGATTTCTTAAGACAAATATATACATGGTTTGAACAAAAGCTACTGGGTTCGGCCGAATCCGCATCCCGCACTCTGCCTCCCCCCCTGTGTGTGTATATAAAGCTATTGAAACCCCTTTAAATGGGGAAAATTCTTGTAAAGCAGCAAAGGGGGATCAAATTACTTTAGGTCACATGTCCAAATTGGATTGAATGTGTGAAATTTCCTTGTATAAAATCCTGGCTCCACTACTGACAACATCGTTAAATGATGAGAGTCTAAATCAATTTCTTCCCATCTATCCAAGCCTTGGTGGATAGAGTTAGCTCGTACCTGTTGCTGGTGGGAGGTGATAGGTATCCTGTGTAATTAGTCGAGGTGCGCGCAAGCTGGCCTGGACACCACGGCTATCAACAACAACAACAACAACCCAGTATAATTCCACTAGTGGAGTCTGGGGAGGGTAGTGTGTACGCAGACCTTACCCCTACCCTGGGGTAGAGGCTGTTTCCAAATGACCCTCGACATCCTTCCCTCCAAGAACTCCCACCTTGCTCTTGGGGTGACTCGAACTCACAACCTCTTGGTTGGAAGTGGAGGGTGCTTACCATCAGAGCAACCCACCTTGTCTAACACCACGACTATCAAAGAAAAAATAATTCAATTTTCCCCTTTCTAGCTTTTTATGCATACCAACTACTAGTTGGTATTATGGCCAATAATGTTTTTTCTTTTAGAGACTTTTATGACAGAGTAGAGGTGTAGAGATAAGTGTGAGAGTAGAGAACCTATAGCTTAACAAAACCCCTAATTTGCCTTAAAGCACAAATATTTAGTATTGGAATGTAACAAACTCGAATAGAGTGGAATGGTTTAGAGAATTCATATATTCGACCCCAAGTGATATGGGATGGATGCATAGTTGATTGTGATTTAAGTGGCCATTATCCATATGTTATAACTCACCAATCTTTGAATTATTTGGAAATTATCGCACCATGGGTGTGGCTTAGTGGGTAATGAAGTGTGAGAAAAACCATGAGGTCTCAGGTTCAAATCTGTTGACTCAATTTATAAGAATGATGGATCTGGCATAAGGTTATTTCCTTTAGGAATTGAAACTTTCCTCAGTCTTTGAACTCTTCTCGATGTGCTTCATATTCTCTTTGGAGTATCTCATGTAATTGTGTTCCCTTCTTGTCTTGGCTAATCTGGATATGTGCAGTGATGTTGCAACATTAGAATCTGCACTTTAAAAGATTGTTACATATGGAATAGCCGAATAGCGAATCAACTGCCGTTAAATGATGTCATGTAAGAGATCTCGTAAGATTTCTGCTTATACGGCTTTCATCACATCTTGTTGTCATTTCTCTTTTCAGTACTACACAAATGTGGAAACTGGGAAAAAGTTCTATTCCAAGAAGGAAGTCACTCGGTATATGAACGCAAAAGATACTTGCCATGATGTAACTCAAGTACTGAACCAAGATAAGAGTAGCTCCCAGAACAATGTTAGTCAAATGAATCATCAAGATAAGAGCTTCTCTGAGAACAATGTTAGTCAAATGAATTATCAAGATAGGAGCTGCTCCGAGAACAATGTTAGTCAAATGAATTATCAAGATAGGAGCTGCTCCGAGAACAATGTTAGTCAGGTGAGTTTTGAAGGTGAAGTAACAACGACATTCTACTTTTTTGTACGTGGTTTATCTTCTGAGATCTGTCACTTGTTATTGTCAGATTGTTGAGGAAACAAAGAAATCTCCTGAGTGGTTACCTGCAGGTTGGATAGTTGAGTTGAGGAATCGTAAGTCTGGCTCACATGCTGGTTTGGCTTACAAGGTATGGAAATGGAAATCTACCAACCTCATACTTGTGGCTATGATTTGTTATAATGTGTCTTCTATATTTCTTTTAGTGTGAACTTTCTGAAAGATTAGCAGTGTGTCAATTTCTGTGATGTATCAGCATATCTTTTTGCAAGATTTCTCACTTTAAGTAAACAGATAACATTGCTCATGCGAATTCCATGTATATGACACTCCGTGGCATACAAATGGTCATGCTGCTTTTGGTTCTGCTGGTAGTTTATCTGAGTCCCAAAATGCCAATAGTATTTGTTAGTTAGAGGTATTGATGAGAATGCAGATTCTAGGCAATATCTACTTCTGTTTAATACTAGTTATATAGGGTTTATAATATAGGGAAAAGTCCAAATTTACCCCTCTACTATATGAAATATCTTTATTTTACTCTCGGTCATACTTCGAGGTCATCTATACCCCTACTGAGACATTTTGCCCTTGATTTTAACGGCACTCCAGCGTGGACGGGGTCAGTGTTTGAAAAAGCGATCGCTTCGTTGCTTTAAGCGCGAAGCGATGGCTGGTCGCTTTTCCCAGCCTGAGGCGACTCGACCAGGTGAAGTGCGCGCTTCAGTTGAAGAAGAGACGAAGCGACAGAAGCGCAGAAGCGCTCGCTTCTGTTAAGAGGGGCCTTTTTTAAAAAAAAAAAAGTTTGGGTCTGTTTTTTAATTATACAAAACAGACCCCTAAGACCAAAATTGACCATTTCTCTCTTCTCTCTTCTTCGATCGACATTGCTGCCAAAACCTAGGGTTTCAACTTCCTCCATCCAGTCCAGGTAATTTTTCTTCTTCTCCCTTCTTCTCATTTTTTCCTTTCTTCTTTCTTTCTTCTTCTTGTTCCCATCCAGCTTCTGCTCTTTTTTTCTTTCTTTTTCCTTCTTTCTTCCTTCTTCTTCTTCTCTTCTCTTTTTCACTTTTTATCGTCCAGCGTCTGC